ATCCCAGGGCCTATGCTCAAGGCATTCCAATTCTTAGGTCTTAGGAAAGATCTCAGAAATCTGCAATTTTAATATTTTCTTTGGGATCACTGATATAGACATTCCCTGGAGAACAATTTTTTTTAATAAAGGAATAAGAGTATACAGAATTTGAGTAAAATGAAGGCCAGAGCTCCTGGAGGGTTCTTTCTTCTCTTGTTTAAAGCTGAGTTTAAGGATCAAAAAGGTTTCTTTTTCCCCCAAAGCCACTTGGAATAGCCTCATTTTTCTCAAACTGCCAGGAAATATCCAAAAGTTGACTTGTGGAGGAGCAGGATTGGGATGTGAACTGCATGAGAAGAGACAATCTTAAAAGACATTTAATTTAATGAGCAGAAGGACCCCAAACCCTGGGAAGAAAATCTTAGCGACACTTTTCATAGTTGCCACAAGGTGGCGGTCTTCTGCATCAATTTGAAGAGGAATGCCGGTTACCATCAGGTTAGCTTGTTTTCAGTATTAAATAAGTCATTAGTTTTAAAAATGTGCATTAATTTTAAAAGGAGGCAAGGGGAAATAATTTAACAGAAGAGACTTCAAACTCACATTTCAATCAAATACTGACACGCTCTAGATGGAGGAATTTAGTGAGATTTCAACCTTAGATCCCAGGAAAAAAGATAAAAATCTGTTTGAGAAAAGGCAGTAGTCTTTGTAAAATGAAAAATGTCATTCAAAGAAAGCATCTTAAAAGCATTCCAAAAAGTTTGCTTTTTGGAGAGCCAGAAGTGCAATTTGGTCATTAAAAATAAAGCACTAGTGTCTGGTAAAATTTCCTTTTATTATTTGGTCTGCAGTCAGGACCAGAAAATGAAAAAGAGAGAGGAAACCAAAGTTCTGGATAAACACAAGAGCAGTCATGAACCAAAAATGACGGCGGCAGAGCTGTGGCTTGGCTGGTGCAGGTTGAGCATTTCTTCCCAGTTAGATCAGGGGGATCACCTTAATTGCCCTGGGGGGCATCTACAGGTGAGGGAAGCTAAGTGGGCTGAGAGCAGGGATGCCTCGAGGACTCACTACAGCATGCCTTCACTTCTGGGAGGTAAAGTCGACAGGTTCACTGTGAGTCTGCAACCTCAAGACTGGAGCAGCTAGTGGTTGGGATTATGGTGAGGCCAAGGGCACCATCTCACAGGAATAGGCTGCAAAACGCCTCAGGCCAGTGGAGAGTACAAGGGACAGGGTTGCTTGTCACTTAGTGGGCTTTGGGCCATGTGTGTCTATATCTGAGCACATTAGTGCCAAGACAAACCCTGGCCAGAGCCTCACACTGAGTCAGCCCCCTGACTTGTTTGAATGCAGGGACAATTTGCCTGAGGTTAGTAGAAGGGGGAATGGAAGAATAAAAATCACAGCCTCATTTCCCAAGGGCAAATGGAAAGGTTGGCCTCATATCTTACCCTCTCATTTTAGCTTCATCTGGAAGAAAATCCCCAGAAAACACATGAACATTATCGAAAGAGGCAAAGGGGCCACAAGGGCATGCAAGGAGATGAGGCGGTCCTCCTGTTCCCCATTGTTCTCTCAGCATAGGAAATGGTGGGAGGGGGAACCTCCTGTCAAGAACAATGACAAGAGAGCTGAGGGCCTTGTCTCTTAGAAGTTTGGAGAGTATAGGAAAGACTCCTGGGATGTTTTTTCTTCTTGTCTGTTCTCTCATCAGCAACGTTTGGGGGTTGTTTGTGTACTGCTGGGGCACTGCCCTTTCTGTGCAGACTGCTTTCTAGAAATGTGTCTTCAGCTCTTGGGGAGAAAGTAGGACAGCAGGAGGCCAGGGCATGGGCCTCAAGCTCTGGATGTTTTGAGGGACAGCTGTTCATTGGTTGTTCTATGTTCAGTGCAACTCACAATGGGGTGATCAAACGAGTGCTTGGGAGAGAGCAGGCTGACATTGCCTAAGCAAGGACAAGTACGTCCTTGGGTCGGTATCCCACAACAACCTCCTCTATGCTGTTAGGTATTTGGAGGAGATTCCTATATGGTGAGGAGTAGGGATAATCACCAGGTGGTCCCCTGTGGAAGAATCTTTTCCCATTGCATTATCCATGGCTCTGGGGGCATGTGCTGTCCACTTGCCAACTGCCATGACACTGCTGGACTGTGTTTAATATAGAATGCAGTATACCACACAAAGGCCAGCAGCTTATTTAATGACCCTCTAAAGTAAAATCAGATCCCATGCTGAATGTGATAAATACCTTATCTTTGGGGCACATGTCTCACTGACATGGATTGATTGACTTTCACTACTGCAGTCAACTCTTAGAGCCAGGAATGGAGAAAGGTAGAGAGGGTTTCAATGTTTGTGTTTGCTTGTTTTTGTCTTGCGTGATGAACTTCATGTTTGAAGATGAGATTTCTAACCCACAGAGTGATTTTTGAAGAGTGGAGTGGGTTTGCAGGCCCATGTCCACTCTCTCTCACATCATGCTCATTGGTCAGCATCATGCAGGTGGTCAACCTGTCCTCTGAGAGGGAGAAGCGCTACCGGTTTGCCCAGGGGTTGGAGTTCTGATCCTAGCCTCACCAGCCCAGAGCTCCCTGCAGCTGTGCCCCCTGTATAGACAGGCTCCTCATTGGCACCATATGCTCTCTCACAGGGTGGTCAATAGGAAATGAACCCTCCCTTAAAGGAGCCTTCATTATAAGTCTGAACAATTCAACTGAAAAATAATAAATTTTTACAGACATAAAATTAAATATTCAATTTAAACTAATACTAAATTTAATACACTGATCTTAGATCAACTCAACTAATTGAGTTTCTCATATTTAGATTTAAAAAGAAAAACCGATTTCTTAAAATGTAATGTTTCCTTTGAAGCAGATGTTGTGTTGACTAGTAGTCAACTTTGCAGAATCTTAGACATTTTAATATCATTTTAGATAATTAGCTGTACTGATTTAATTCCCAACTACTGTGCCTTTGATTTCCATCTGGCTGCCATGTAGATATCAGTCTCACAGGAATCTTGCTGAATGGCCAGTGTGCTGAATGCTTTGAGAAAGCTTTAGAATTACAGAGGGTAGTCTACTCCCCACACTAAGTGAGTGACTGTATAATTTATTATCCAAATTGGGATCTCATTCAGGACAAAAGAAGTACTATTAACACTTACTTCAGAAAATAGGTGTAAATTGAGACCTCCTTACCTACAGGTGAGATTTTTGTTTTTCTTCAAAGTGATTTCCCAGAAGGGAGAGAGACATAGAAATAAAAATAGATGAAGATATAAATATAGATTTTATTCAAGCTTTCATGAAGTTTCTCATATTCTAGGTCAATCCAAGTTCCTTTGGGAAAAAACAAAAACAACAAAATACTGTTTAGGAAAGGTTCATTATCCTGAAATTATTCAACCACTGCTAGTTTTATATTTTTGTAGACACTTATGGTCATAGGGCTACATGAAAGGTCCTCAAGAACCAAAGAAGAATCTGGCCTCCAGAGCCCTACATCCATGCCAAGAATGCCTGGGGATGTGGAGGGACCTCAGGAAAGTATATTATCTGTTCTTGGTTATGGAGAGCAGTGATTTGAATCATGGTCTTTCTGATTGCCTCATGGCTGCATTTGTGCTGGTAACTTTCGGTGCAAAATTGCAGGTCTAGACTGTCCAGTTGCTATGGTGACGCAGGCCGGAGGATGCTACATGCAAAGGCGCACAGCTGTATCAGTTGAGACCTTGAGCTCAGACATGAGCTCAGACACCAGCTCCCGAGCATAGAAAATTGTAAGCAAAACAAGATGACCCTAATGTCTCGCTGGTCCCACATCCTTCAGATTGCGTCCTTTGTTGAAACTTTCTCACAAATAACCTTTTGATGAAATCTTTATAATAAACTTGCTGAGCTAGCTCTAGGTCAAACTCCATCTGAGGTTGGCGACCCACCTGGCCCCACCTTCTTCTCTCTATGTGTGTCTGTTCATCTTTTCTTCATCCCTCATCACCACTCATATGGTTTCTTTCCCTGAGTTAATGGCTGTGGCTGAGAGATGGGGCTACGTCACTAGGTGGCTTCTTCTTAATTGTGAAGAATCTGTTCTCTTACCTTGTTCCTTTACAGGAAATTTACACTTTTTGAAGTGCTAGAGTGGGTTTAGAGGTGGATGAGGAGAGCTAAGCCAGAGGACCTGAGATGTGGGGCACTGAGGTGACTTGGTGGACTCCGCTCTGTTTTACTTTTCCCCACATTTTGTTATTGGTACATTGCAGTTATACATATGGAAGGGATTTGTTGTTACGTATTTGTAACAATATAACAATATAGCCAATATCATTCCCCAGAAATTCCCTCCTCCCTTCCACCTCCCACCCTTTGTCCCTTTCCTCTACTGATATCCCTTTGATTTTTTAGGAGATCTACCCTCACATTTCTTTTCCTTTTTCCTCTCTAGTTTCTGCATATGACAGAAAATGTATGACCCTTGATCTTCTGAGTCTGACTTATTTTGCTTAACATGATGGTCTCTAGTTCCATCCATTTTTCTGCAAAAGCCATAATTTCATTTTTCTTTACAGCTAAATCAAATTCCATTTGTAGACCACAATTTTTTTTTTATCCATTCATCCTTTGATGGACAGCTAGGCTGGCTCCATGGTTTGGCTATTGTGAGTTGTGTAGCTAGGTTTTAACGAGGGTCTGCAGAGGTGCTCAGCATCAGCTTAGGGCTGGTGGCTCTGGCACACTTCCTTCTCCAACCATATCTAGTTATCTTTCTGGTTGGTGACAGTTGAAAGTGGCTAATCAGTTACACGACTTCTTTGTAGGACTTGGTCAAATCACAACTACCACCAGAGGGCTATGACATAAAACCAAGGAAGCAGATTTCATGTCTGCCACAATCTTAGGGATTCCAATTCCTCCACATCTGGTTTCTTTGAAACTGGAATCCTTTGCTTGGGTAAAATATGCTCTTTCCTTCCTTGAAAAGTGCTTTCCTCTCATTTCAAGCACAGATGGTTGGAATCCAGTCATGATCAAGATCGTCACCAAGTGCTTCCCTGTGCACATCCTCACACAGCTGGGTATTGCGTCAGTCCTGATCGGCCTTTCAAGAAAGGTGCTGGAAACCAGAAAGTGCTCAGGAGAGAGCTGCCAGCATGGCACAGGATCCGGAAACTGAAATAAATGAAGAACAAGCAAAAGAACATAGAATCTCTGGTTTGGAGAAGAGAATACTCTGTTAAATTGAGGGCTAGAAGTTGCTTGTAATGCAGAATTGGGAGCTGATATGGATAATTTGGGATTTGCAAAGATGATAACATAATAAAATTTAAGGCTATTTAACATTGGAGTGGGCTGGGTTGTGGTCATGCGTATCCTGTCACCAGAAATGTTCATGGAGAATCTGGGTGGACATCTTTCAGGGAGGCAATCTAGGGATCTCCTCCAAGGGCCAACTTATCATGAAAGGCTCTGAGTTTGAATTTGGGATATAAATAGGCTTGCAACAAAGCACCTGCCTTTGAGGGTCTTTCTTCCAAAAGAAAGAATGCCCAAGATAAGATCCTTTTGGTTTCATTTAAACTTGGTTGAGGAAAATACTGGCTTTCTAAGAAAGCATACAAAAATATTAGCATCAGTCTGAGAAAGTTTATGACATAGAGTGGGGGGCCATTGAGAACTGCGGGTGGAAAAGGAGGTGGCAGACTCCAAGGCCTCCTTAGGAGGTGGCACCTGGGTAGAGCAGGCCTGAGATTAGTGGAGAGTAATATTCCAGGGCTGCAGTCGGGGTGTGGGGAGCACTGTGAACATAGAATGATGCTAGAATAAACAGCATGCCTCCACTAGGGAGGAGGGTGTGAGAGGAAAGGGCTTGTAGATATTGGAGAGCCCAATAAGGGACAGATTCTGGAAATCCTTGAATTCTAGGCTATTGGAGTAAATTCTCTACTAGGGTTTGAGTTGCTTAATAGCAGTGCCCTTTAAAAAAAGTTTTAATTTCATTATTTCTTCAATATTATCAGAGTAGATGTTTTTATATATTTTAACCATGATTTTAGTTTTCTTGATGATACAACTGATAAAAATATCCTACTAAATAATTTTTTTCTAGAATCTGCTTTATTTTATTCATTGGTGTTGGGGATCGAAACCCAGGGCCTTGTGCATGTGAGGTAAGCACTCTACCAACTGAGCTATATCCCCAGCCCTCCCCAATGCCCTTGATATTTGACAGGCAGCACAACTTTCTTTGTGCAGGGTCTCAGAGAGGCAGAATGTTAGAGTAGCAAGTTAAGATCATGGAATTTTCCTGACCTCTTTCATCACGGCAGGCTCTAGCCCTAATAGGTTTTTAAGGAAAATAGAACATTCTTTTTGGTATTTGCCAATATCAGCCTACCCAGGCCTAAGCCCTTAAGGCTCACTATATAATTACCCCCAGGAGGCCAGAGGTCATTTAGAAGGGCAAGTGTAGGCAACACCCAGCTATTAGAAGTCAAATTTCAGAGCTCTCTCTAAATTCTGGCCTGAAGCATTTTGGAGACTGGAGGAGGCCTATGGGTGGGGGGACCTTTGAGGTCAGTATTTCATGCCTGAAATGAAGGCATTTAACTTTTGGATTGGCCTGGGCAGGCTATGTTCCTGCAGGGAGGGTGTAGGTCCATGCTGGACTGGGCAGCCTTTTCTCCTCAAGCCACTGGTAGTAGGCCTGCTCTGCCTCAGCCTCAGCCTCCTGAGAACTCTCACACTGGCCTATTCTGCCTTTCTACATTTATCCTGGACTCCTTGGGAAGAAAACTGAGATGGAACTCAGGGATCCTCTTATGACTCCCGTGGTTCAGGCAGAAAGTGATCAAGAACAGCCTCTCTGTAAAGAATCCTTCAGTTGAGCCTAAGAGCAGCCAGCCAGCATGTCTCCTCTTTCCTGGAGAGGGAGAGGAAGCTGGGGAGTGGGCTGATCTGCAATTGCTCTCCATTCAGGTTGATTCCTTGGGCAAGGTGGCAGCAGTGACCAACTTGCTCCTATAAGACCTGCCTGCAGACAACTGCTTCATATGTTATAATTAGAGGGCCCCTAGAAGCTCCCCCATTTGGAAGTAGCTTCCACATTAGGATATTCTTAGAATTAAGTGCTATCATTAAGATAGGTTCACTAACATAAATGGTGCCTTGAGGTTCTCTTTAAAAATGCAGTTTCACCAGGAAGCAATAAATTAATCTATTGGTTCATTCCAATCTCTTGATAGGAATGTGCTGCCCTGAAAGCATTAGGGTAGGAGGAGCAGCAAAAGGCAACCAAATATTTTGACTTGAGAGAGCAAACAGTGTAAAGGGGACTTGCCCTGGGATGACACTGACCTATTGGGCAGCATATCCTCGCTCTGGGACCACAGCTTAGGATAAGGTATTAGATTTTGAAATGAGAGCTTTCTAAGCCCAGCTTTATGCTCAGTGTCTCCAGGAAGAGTCCGACCATGATCACCAATTCCAACCTTCTAGCCTTGAGATGTGCTGTATTTGTAGCTCCAGGATCTTGGTCTTTGATACTGGGGGATCTCAAGCCTGCTCTCTGGAGGAGAAGGTCTGTTGTCACAGCACTCAGCAGGGCAGGCAAAATTGTTCATTCCTATCCCAGTGCAGAAGTCAACCTCTGGCTCCATCTGTCTCATGCAGAGCAAAGGCTCTGGCTCAGATGCTTTCAAGAGAAGGAGCTGGCCAGCAGGTGTCACTAAGTTCTAAGATGTGTGGGGAGCCTGGCTGGATGATCAAGAGTGTGCTCTTTTTCAAACCAGTTTAGCATTCAAGACTTCAGAGGGGATGGGACTGACAGAAGGGCCTCAGGTGGTGGGGCTGCTAAGGAGGAGAGCAGGAAGGGCAATGCCAGTCCATTTCCTTCCAGAAAAAAAAAAAGCAGATTTGTTGTGTGCTCAAGAATTTGAGGAAGGCAGTCTTACAAACTCAGGCTGAAAATGCATGGTAACTGACAAGGAAGAGATTGAGAGGCACCAGACAGCAATCCATTATGTCTGTTCCTCTGCCACAGGGCACTGCCCAGCTCTGTCCTTACCTAGGAAGCAGCTTCCATAGGCATGGGCCTGTGACCTAGATGGCCAATCAGGGCACTGCTATGAAGAATTATGGGTTTCTTACAGCCAAAGGCATTTAATCCGTAGGTCTATGATACTTGATCTGACAAACCTTTTAATGCTATGTAAAAACCAGCATGTGATTTTTCTAGACAGTCCAGAGATGCTCTTATTTTACATTAGAAGCAGTTGTTCAAATATAAAAGCACTGAAGCTGGTTTTCCTCTGAAAAAACACCTATTAGCCAACTAAACAGGGGCTGGGTAGAAAGTTGATTTTCACTTTAAACCTACATTCATGGATTCTGAAGGACCAGGGTTGCGTTACGTTGTTAGTCAATCATCAACTAGCATGTAGAGATGCTGTCACTGCTCTGATATATGTCACTTAGGCAATAGATGGTCTTGAACTAGACCCTGAAAGAAACTGGGTTCACAAGCATGCAGAGTAGAAGTGATTAATTAAAAAACAAAACCCCAACATTCTTCTTGAATTATGAAATTAGATGCATTATCATTACAGAAGGATTAGAAAAAATGCTTAGTGAGTTTCTTAAGTGACTCTTCAAGATTCAGTGTCACACATTCTGTTACATGAGTTACATTTTATATTTTGCAGTTTTCTTTTTTAAGGTACAAGTTTAAGGTCTCTTTCCACTTGAGCCTGAAGATCACAGTTGGTAAATTCTGTCCATTCACCACGACTTTACCTCCTGTGTTTGGTAGACATTAGTGGATCCCAGCACAGGATCCTGCTCAGTCCAAGTGCGATCTTGTAGTTGACCTCAATACAGAGCTCTGTCATCAGCACTCATTATCAGTACATTAGTGTTGGCCTACTGTGTTCCATGTAAAGAAAGTTCTTTTCTAGCACAAAACGCAGCCAATGTACTATTTTATGTAAAGACTCTGAGCAGAAACTTTGCTGGTTCTTATCTGTTCCTAAGCTGGTGTGAGCCAGGCTCAGGGAAGCACACAACTTCCAAATCAATCAACTATAGATTGTGATACTGATGCTGTGAATATAAATGTTTATGGAAAGGCAAAGGAAGATAAGACCAGTTACTTTTAAGTTCTCAACACGTCAGTTTCCTGTCCCTGTGGGCAGAAGATAAATATTCATTGAATGAATCGAAGAATGGTGAACTGTTGAAGGGGACACAAATTTTCACATTTTCAAATGCGTTTTGCTTCACACTGACAGGTACCAGACAAACAGTCAAGGAGACCCCAAGGTCTTCTGTAGTTCTTATAAAGAAAGTGGCAATCCCCACCAAAAGCACTAGCTTGGACTGAAGTCTGTCTGGGGCTAGGAAAATTTCCTATTTTTTTTTTTTTTTTCAGGCCTTCATATTTTATTTTATTATTATTATTATTATTAGTTGTTCAAAACATTATAAAGCTCTTGACATATCATATTTCTTTTTTTTTTTTTTTTAATTTTTTTATTGTTGGCTGTTCAAAACATTACATAGTTCTTGATATATCATATTTCACAATTTGATTCAAGTGGGTTATGAGCTCCCATTTTTACCCCATATACAGATTGCAGAATCACATCAGTTACACATCCATTGATTTACATATTGCCATACTAGTGTCTGTTGTATTCTGCTGCCTTTCCTATCCTCTACTATCCCCCCTCCCCTCCCCTCCCTCCCCTCCCCTCCCCTCCCCTCCCCTCCCCTCTTCTCTCTCTGCTCCCTCTACTGACATTCGTTTGTCCCCCTTATATTATTTTTCCCCTTCCCCTCACTTCCTCTTGTATGTACTTTTGTATAACTCTGAGGGTCTCCTTCCATTTCCATGCATTTTCCCTTCTCTCTCCCTTTCCCTCCCACCTCTCATCCCTGTTTAATGTTAATCTTCTTCTCCTGCTCTTCGACCCTACTCTGTTCTTAGTTACTCTCCTTATATCAAAGAAGACATTTGGCATTTGTTTTTTAGGGATTGGCTAGCTTCACTTAGCATAATCTGCTCTAATGCCATCCATTTCCCTGTAAATTCTATGATTTTGTCATTTTTTAATGCAGAGTAATACTCCATTGTGTATAAATGCCACATTTTTTTTATCCATTCATCCATTGAAGGGCATCTAGGTTGGTTCCACAGTCTAGCTATTGTGAATTGTGCTGCTATGAACATAGATGTAGCAGTGTCCCTGTAGCATGCTCTTTTTAGGTCTTTAGGGAATAGACCAAGAAGGGGAATAGCTGGGTCAAATGGTGGCTCCATTCCCAGCTTTCCAAGAAATCTC